CTCGCCTTGCTCTGTTCTGTGATGAGCATTCAGGAATCTCCTGTTCAAACTCATTCATCAAAATGAACAAATCTTTTTTTGAGTCATGACTCCAAGGGTCCTAGATAAGACCCTTATTCATCGTCTGGTGTCGTTTAAAGCCTTTTGAAGCTGCACTGAAACTCTCATTTGGACCTTGAACTGTTTGGTTCCCAATGAAGTCCATTATATGGAGAAAATCCTGGAATGTTTTCATCAAAAACCTTAATTTCTTTTCTGAACGGAATAAAGAAAGACGTGGACATCTTGGATGACATGGGGGTGAGTAAATTATCAGCTAAACTCCTTTAAGGCATTAACACATTTTTCAAGGAAAAAGAAACTTTTAAATATGTAATTTTGGTGATCAAACTAAGTTTTAAGGGATACAATTATTGACAGGGGGACTTTAAATAAATTGTTCACCCCCTTAAGATGTTTGAATGAATTACTTAATTTACTTGTCCATCCAAATCAGTATGACTTTCTTTATTCTGGAGAGAATAGGTCAAAACAAAAAAAGGGGGGTCTTACAGTTTTAATTACGGGTGAATATCCTAACGTGAGTGAGAAAGTCCTCAACCGAAATGTGCTGCCAAAAAATGATTGTTTAATTAGGCTTTATAAGCCCCCTTTAATATCATATTATAATTTTTACACTGCCAGTGTAACTCCTCAGTCCACCTAACACCTAATGCATAAAACCCATTTATTCATTTGTGCACTTGCTCACCAAATGCAATAAGAGAAGTGGGTCAGCAGCATGTAAAATGATTTGACCGGTCGGTGCAGTCAATACTTGATGGCTTCTCTAAATTGAATTTTTGCAGGGAGAATTTTATGTTCTAAATGCTGATGGAAATGAAAGAGACAGTAGTCAAACATCAGACAGGCTGGGCCCATTGACCTGCATATGTGAGAGGGACAGCCAGAAAACACACAGCAGCAACACAAAAAGAGCTCTGTGGCCCTGATGGCAATGTGGGAGCCCCTCACTGGTCCCACTGGCAGGAGATCATTGTTATTCTCAGCAAATCAGAGCATAGATGACACACAACTTCATTCTTAGAAACATTTTCCCTCTATATGCACACACACACACACACACACGCACACAGAGACTACATTATTCTGAGCCAGCCAGCTATTCAGCTGACAGACACTCTTATGCTACAGCAAAGTAAATGAATGAATGCAAACACTGCATCAATTAATGCAAAGCCTCACTGCATCAGAGTAATTAACCCTGCAGGCCGGCACTAAATGTCGAAGTGGATGAATATACACAATAGCGTGAGCCATGAAGACCGCATCATCATCAGGGTCACAGGAGCAGTGTGATATGATGAAGAACAATAATTCACTGCTCCATAATACAACATTTAAAAGGATTACAATTCTATCTTTATTTACTCGCTCACGTCGTTCTTTCTTCTGTGGAACACAAATATTTTGAAAAAATGTCTCTTTTTTTACCATAAAAAGAAAGTCAATTTTGTTTAGATCGCAATGAATTTCAAAATCTATTTTTTGTATGCCCTTCACAGAAGAAAGATATTAGCCTACATATATGTATAATATTTGAAGAAAAAAAAAATATATATTATATATATTAATATTATATATTAATTTTTTTTTCAAAATTTGTTAATTTATTTATTCCTTATACATCTTTTATTCTTATAATAGCAGTTTCTTATTAAAAGTATCTTTGTTAAGGGAATTAATTAAAAGTTGGAAGGAAGAAGCTCAGTTAATGCTATAAATGCAAACTGTATGTGTGTGTGAGAGTACACACAAATATAATATATATTAATAAAAAATCGATTTGACAGCACTAATATATATATACTCACCTAAAGGATTATTAGGAACACCCGTTCAATTTCTCATTAATGCAATTATCTAATCAACCAATCACATGGCAGTTACTTCAATGCATTTAGGGGTGTGGTCCTGGTCAAGACAATCTCCTGAACTCCAAACTGAATATCAGAATGGGAAAGAAAGGTGATTTAAGCAATTTTGAGCATGGCATGGTTGTTGGTGCCAGACGGGCTGGTCTGAGTATTTCACAATCTGCTCAATTACTGGGATTTTCACACACAACCATTTCTAGGGTTTACAAAGAATGGTGTGTAAAGGGAAAAACATCAAGTATGAGGCAATCCTGTGGGAGAAAATGCCTTGTTGATGCTAGAGGTCAGAGGAGAATGGGCCGACTGATTCAAGCTGATAGAAGAGCAACTTTGACTGAAATAACCACTCGTTACAACCGAGGTGTGCAACAAAGCGTTTGTGAAGCCACAACACACACAACCTTGAGGCGGATGGGCTATAACAGCAGAAGACCCCACCAGGTACCACTCATCTCCACTACAAATAAGAAAAAGGGGCTACAATTTGCAAGAGCTCACCAAAATTGGACAGTTCAAGACTGGAAAAATGTTGCCTGGTCTGATGAGTCTCGATTTCTGTTGAGACATTCAGATGGTAGAGTCAGAATTTGGCGTAAACAGAATGAGAACATGGATCCGTCATGCCTTGTTACCACTGTGCAGGCTGGTGGTGGTGTGATGGTGTGGGGGATGTTTTCTTGGCACACTTTAGGCCCCTTAGTGCCATTTGGGCATCGTTTAAATGCCACGGACTACCTGAGCATTGTTTCTGACCATGTCCATCCCTTCATGGCCACCATGTACCCATCCTCTGATGGTTACTTCCAGCAGAATAATGTACCATGGCAAAAAGCTTGAATCATTTCAGATTTGTTTCTTGAACATGACAATGAGTTTACTGTACTAAAATGGCCCCCACAGTAACGAGATCTCGACCCAATAGAGCATCTTTGGGATGTGATGGAACGGGAGCTTCGTGCCCTGGATGTGCATCCCACAAATCTCCATCAACTGCAAGATGCTATCCTATCAAAATGGGCCAACATTTCTAAAGAATGCTTTCAGCACCTTGTTGAATCAATGCCACGTAGAATTAAGGCAGTTCTGAAGGCGAAAGGGGGTCAAACACAGTATTAGTTAGTTCCTAATAATCCTTTAGGTGAGTATACATACATACATACATACATACATACATACACATTTTATTTTACAATACAAATCACCTTAAAAATAATTTAAATGCAAAATGAAATGGAGGATGCTATAGAATAATTCCAATCCTTGTTTCTCATTGGTCAATACTTTCCAGTCATGATATATTCCACAATAAAATGCCATGACATCACTGTAAATTATTATTATTATTCTTTATAGTGTTATGTTGCACCAGGGACTGTATCTTCTATTGAAAGGGTGCCACATCGCATTTAAGTATTTAAATGAACATATGTGTCCTTAATATTTATATTTTGCCGTAAGAGTTTTTTTTAAGCAGTAAGGCATTTAAGAATATAGTGTTAGATGTTACAAATATATATACATATTTGTATCTTGCACTAATGATACAAGTGAACAATACTGTGTTACTTTCCCCCCACTCTGACAGTCTGACAGCACTTTTTAACATTAGGCTACAGTTGACAGCGCCTCATCACAACACTAACACTGATACTGGCGCCCTCTAGTGTTCCTAACCACATGCTAAGCGCTGAGGGACTAAATAGGTAGTCAACATTTGAAGTGGATCTAAAGTTAATTAAAGTTGTCCTAAGACAAGAACGGGTATTGTTCAAAATTCATGAATAACTGATGGAAGGTTTTGATCCACTTTGAATGTTGACTACTGTGTGTGTATAATATATGGTATATAAATGGTCTCCTGCGGAGATGCAAAGCAGCATCAGTGTTGTTTACAGAACCAGCTTAGACGAGATAAAGCACCTAAACTACTGCAAGTTTGTAGAGCCTTTTCCCTCAATCTATTTAGGATATGTTCGTGAGATGTAATAATTCACTTCAACCTATTTTATCGTTTAACAAATCGCGTATATTCGTGTCATGTGTCCATGTGTAAAATTACAATGTTGTAGGCTACATTATAGATATCTAAATACCCTTATCCTTTTTTATTCATCATTTCTATCGGCTCCAGTTTACAATATTTTAGCAAATAATTAAAAAATGGGATAGAAAATAAATAAACTAAATAAAAATTTATTAAATAAATTTCGTAAGGAAATTTTGATGGCGTAATGAATCGCGAACTTCAAGTAGAAGGAACAGGGTGAATATTTGAATCAATTCACGATCTGACAAACCTTTTTTTCCCTCATTTATGCCACCTGATAGTTTGGCTTGCAAAATTAGGGACACTTAATATTCACCAATATTATTGATTTGGCTGCACTGATACTATTGTATGAGAAGAGACACATCAGTGTTTTCTCCAGACTGGCTTTATAGTTGAATTGAACTTATTCCATAATAAATTATTTTTTGGATTTTAATCAAAACTAAACTGATTTCAGCTGAATAATGAGTTTACTATGGTCTTTAGAGCTAGTTTACTTGAACTCTGTTTGCATCATTTTGCTGTTTATCTCTGTAAAGCTGCTTTGGAAAAAAAAATCTGTAGCTAAAGGTGATTTCACTTTACCCACAGAAAATACTAAATTCTGTAGTTACAAAACAATAAATGTATACCTTTTTAAAACAACAGTAGTCATTTATCGGACTACATACACACAGTACATACATATATTCAAAATTACATTAAAAAGAAACATTTTTAAGAATCCAATGACTAAAGACTGAACTACTACAAGACTAAAAAAGTGATTGTGAAAAAAGTGACATTTGTTACTGAAGAATTGGCTAAAATTATTTTAAAGCCAATACTGAGAAAATCGGGCTAGTTCAAACTTGCAATCAAGCAGCATTTCATGTTAGTGTTTTTCTAATGAAAACTTTTCAACTGTTTCATTGTTAAAATTAACCAATTCTAATCTTTTAGTAAAACAACAACATAAAAGATTTAAAGATGCATCCCAGATCAATAAAAAAAAAAGACCAACAAGACAGACGAATAGCTCAGAACCTTTATTCAGAGGGCAACAAGAGTAAAATATAAAATTTATGGGCTGTTTTTTCCTGTCAGGCGACAAATGAATTTCCGAACCATTGTACGGGAGAACATTTCCTAGAGGAAAGGACTCGAGTGGTTTGCGAAGCCCCTCAAAGATGTCTGAATGGATGAAACCCCCACAGTTCACCCTCCTCCGCCATCAGTGCTCTAGTTCTCATCGCAACGTCTCCAAGTTTTCCTCAATGCTTTTCCTTTTAATTTTTTGCTACATCTCTGCAGTTTTTAAAAAGTAAACAAACAAAAGTCCTTCAAAAAAATAAAATGGAGCGACCACATCTCATGTTCGGCTTCTTAACATTTACAGTATATATAAATACTTACATAAATATGTTACATGGAAAAACCTAATTCAGAGAAGGAAAAAAACAAAAAATGGGGAAAAAGCAGAGGAGAACCTTGGAGGAGGGGGATGGGGGAGAACTGATACAGTGTGTGTGTGCATTTCATGTTAGAGTCAGGACAGTGCGGACACAGATTTGGGCTTTTAGATCAGTAACAGTATAAAGGAGCACTCAGTTGGCCCAGTAAGGAGAGCTGCTGTAGTTGGACTTGCCCTGACTCTTCTGCATGCTGTTGGACTGACTGCGTTGCCCCTGCAGAAGACAGAAAAGACCAAAAAACATTACCACTTGAAATCATATTTGATATGCACATTACAAATGATCCAGATGATCACAACTTTACTGGAAAAACTTGTACACAATCTTCTAACATGCCCTCTCTATTCTGATTGATAGTTTATACCTTTTAGCCAGTAAATTGTAAAAATGTCCCTCTTCAGGAAGTGGCACACGCAAGGCAAGTTTATTTAACACACTCATACACTATGGCAATTCAAACGTTGACAAACTAAATTATTTTTATAAAGTAAACAAATAACTCTTATACTGTCTGGACTGAAGTTTACTAAACTAAAGCAACTTCGGTTGGCTTGCATTTTAACATGATTGCTTTTAAGTGATGTACGGATAATCGAGTATTAAATATGCACCAAGCTTTTGAGGAATGTTTATTTGAACATGTCTCAATCGTCATAGTATTACAATGCATTATATATTTTGCCCCTACAATTAAAACTACAGAGCTTTGATCATGAAACTAAGAATTTAAATCTCCTCCTACTAACGTAGAGTGATAACTGATATGTATGCGTTTTATGCAAGTAGTATGCATCATACTTCTGTAAATCTCACTGATTTATACAATCTCACTTTTTGGCCACAAATACCACCAACAGCACCAGATTGCATATATTTGCTCAGTTTGAGAATATAATGCTCATACTCATAAAAGCCTGGTGTAACAACATCAAAAAAATGGGTCAAAAGATTCTGTAACAAAAAAAATTTGGACTATTACTTCATAGCTAAGATTTACGTTTCCACCTCAGAGTTTTTTGTTTAGATGTGATGTACCTGTGTGTCTTGAGCCATGTGGTGGTGCAGTAACTGTGAGGGGGGCTGCTGATGGGGCAGTATATGAAGGAAGGGTGCGGGGGCATATCCAGGGGCACCTGCGGGGTTCAACGGGCCGGTTCCTCCCAGAGCCGAGGGCAGGCTGAATGCAGGGCCGGCCGCTGTAGGGAAACCCTGCTTGTCAAATGTCTAGAGGGGTCAGAGAAAAGAGATGAATGGCTTTGAAAGGACCCATTTATTTATTTATTTAACTTTTTTTTTTAAATGAATGACTAATACATTAAAATGTTATTCAATGTTAAAATAAATAAAATTAACTCCATGGCCTTTTTATTTTATTTTTTTGCATGAATATCTGAACAAGCAATATATCAAAAGAACAGAGCCTTTATCAACACTTGAAAAGCTTGACAAAGACATTATCAGATACAGAATGATCATCCAAACATTTATGGAGTAAATCGAGTCCACAAACACCCCCAAAGTTTGCACAGTCCTGTAGCTCGTCCTGGGTCGACATTTCATTCAGTAACATTTGGCAGTTTTGATTTATATGCGGTTTAATGTTGATGATTGCATTATTTTACATATGCATTTCTTTACGTATGCCATCGCTTGTTTCTGCATCTTCCTTGCACATATTTTGATCAGGTGATTCAGCAGTCTTTCAAAAGATGTCATAGCGCCTTCTACCACTTGGTTTTTTAAAGAGTAACTAACCCCTAAACCAACATTTTTTAGTTAATGATCTGTAAGAATGGATCTTTATTAATACCGCTCATTGATTCAAGTAACTTTTTTGACATTTATGTATAAAGTGTTTTATTTCTACAATATATGGTGTAAAAACATCTTAGTGCTGCCCTCTTCAGGTTGAACGATGGCTAATGCAGTTGAATTTTCCTATTGGATGGTAGCGGTTCTTCGTGACGTACGCACGTTTCAGCTCACCACGCTCTTGGTACGAGCTACGCCCTTGGTAGTATAAAACCCAGCTTGTTTTCTCAAAACCACTGTAGCAAGTCAGGAGTAGGAATTGCGAGTATTGAAAACGATCAGGAGAGTGTTTTAGCATCTATTTCGCCCCCTCTATCTCCGCTGGGGTCTGCCCACTTTCTCAGCATTTTTCAAATATTGCCAGTGGGTGGAGTCAGGCTCTGACCAGGGGTTTAGTTACCCTTTAAAGGCTGTTAACTTAAGGCAGTTAACACATTTGACAACACCAATTCTGCCTGATTTTAAATAATATAATTAAACATTATAGGTACCATGTAAGTATTTATTTTAAGGGCAGGGGACTCTGGTTAACAAACATTTATATATAAAAAAAAAGTCAGAGTTAGTCATAAGCTGTCGTTTCACTGTGTGTGACTTCTGGAAAAGGCTGTCGCAATATATGTCCAAGCAGTGATGAACTTTCAATGTCATCGTAATGCCACCACAAATATGAGTGTCTCCAATGATTCAATAAAATGACTTGAAATCCAATATATTCAATCATTTGTGCTTCGTTTTTTTTTTTTTGGTTTTCCCGTTAAAAGGTGCAGCAAGCGATTTCTGAGAAACACCCTCCTCCCTACATTGTTCCACCCCAATGTAATGAACATGCTATGCAACCACAAACAGCTGGCGCATCACACATCTCATGCAAGTTAAGGATGAATCAACTGTGATTCAACAACATGTCTTGAACCTCACATGTGAAGTAATCAGCCAATCATAAGCAAGGTCATTTACAGACAGAAGTCTTAAAGATACAGCATTAATAAAACTGTTTAATACATCTTATTTTAGCGTGAGAGCGGCTGCAACATTTTTACCTTGAATGTGCGAGGCCTCCTGTGTCAGTGTCAAATTATAACAATAGTAATTTGTTACATTTATGTAGTGCTTTTTCTGGGACCTCAAAGCACTTCACATATGGAAAGGGGGGGGGAGGGATCTCCTCAACCTCCACCAATGTGCAGCATCCACCTGGATGATGCGATGGCAGCTATAATGCACCAGAATGCCCACCACACACCAGCTTACTGATAGAGAAGAGACCGTGATGAAGCTAATGAGATATGGGGATGATTAGGAGGCCATGATGGACAGATACCAACGTGCAAATTTGGCCAGGATGCCGGGGTTACACCCTACTCTTTTACGAAGGACATCCTGGGATTTTTAATGACCACGGAGAGTCAAGACCTCGGTTTAACATCTCATCTGAAGGACGGTGCTTTTTGACAGTATAGTGTCCCAGTCACTATACTGGGGCGTTAGGACCCACACAGACCACAGGGTGAGCGCCCCCTACTGGCCTCACTAACACCTCTTCCAGCGGCAACCTGGTTTTCTCAGGAGGTCTCCTATTCAGGTAGTAACCAGACTCAGCCCTGCTTAGCTATAGTGGGAAACCAGTCTTGGCTAAAGGGTGATATGGCTGCTGGTGAATGGTTGTACAAGAAGAGCCCATTACACTGCGTAATAGGGCTGCATGATGTATCATTTTAGCATCGATATCATGATGTGCGCATCCACGATAGTCACATCGCAAGGATGTGTGATGTCAATTAGGGATCGTAGTTGATCCATAATCAGTATGGCTACGTGCCAGCAGTAACGCTTGTGATTCGCGGATTAATTGCAAAGTTGAACCGTCATAGTGTGAGTTCATCAATTTGCAAGACCCGTCAGTTTAAAAATCAAGCGCAAGACTGGAATTTGCACGCTGTTTTCTGTAAGCCTTCCTAAAGCGCTACCACTGGTTGTGAATTGTGCTAAAATAACGTCGCCATATCTTCTCTGAAAAGCGTTCCATACATTCAGAAGACATAAAGAACACTTTGAAAAAAAAAAAAAATCTATCCAGTTATGAAATGTTTTCTGTGTTGACACAAATCTTGTGCGATGTCCTAAACTGGCTGGATAGTCGCACAACGTGTCGTGTGCCGTGGTCCGACCGTTAATGACACGTCCGATTCGCGAACCAATGACTCTTTTGAATCGCTTCACTTTAGGCTAATGAATGGTTAAAACAACTCATCTGTCAACACTGAACTCAAGAGACATCAATCGGAAACACTTTACGGTTCCATTTATTAAAGTCTAGTTAACTACATTAGTTAATATTAGTTTTAATGCAGATTTACTCCATGGCAAAACCACCCCAGTCATTCTTGAATGATTCATTCCTTCCAAATAGAGCTGTTCAAGTCATCTGGAGAAATTGTTTTTATATCGCAATATATATCGTGGAAAAATAAAATATCACAATGCCATTTTTTACCAATATCATGCAGCCCTACTGCTTAATGTTGCAAACTGCTATTTTAATTCATTTTAAAAATCACAAGAGACACTGATTTGTAGCACTAGTTACCATTTACTACACTGTTAGCAGATACTGAATTAGAAGTCTTGTACTTTTCACAGGAAACGGCTTATTCGGCCACATTGAAAAATAAGGTTGATACGAAGAGACACAGAGGGTTGAAAATGGTCATTAAAAACTAAAATGACTGTTTTGGTGCAAGAAGCCTAACACCAGTATGTCAAAGTAAATAATGTTATTCAGGTGTTTTCACAAGCAGAAATGTGAACCTCACCTGAGTCTTGCCGTACACTGTTCCAGTGAGGTCTGAACTCGCAGATCCAGACAGTCCTGGTGCTAAGAAAATGTTTGAAATATGTGAATGAAAACATCATATGACTGTTTATTCAATACATGCGCAAGCAGTTTGTTACAGTCGGTTTAGTAAGATTTATAAAGCCTAGTTCAGGCTACATGATTTTCAGCCAGATTTAAGCCCGATTTGCAAATCGTTGAGCTCGCTTAACAAGTTAACAAGTCAACTATATTGATAATGGGTTAAATAAGATAAGACATTGGCACATTACGTTATCTTCATATTAAACATCGCAACATACATTTATTGTTCAGTTTAGGGCTTTTGAATTTGAGATTAGATTAAGTGGAATATATAATATTTATATGGATTCATTATACACAAGTATATTAAATAAAAGAATGGTAAATGTGTGTTATTTACAGAAGAATATTATGGCATCAAACCAAAATTGTGAGAGCAAGATCTACCTTTTCCCACGCTGTTGCTGACTCCTTTAGCCTGGGAGCTTCCGCCATATCCTCCTTTCCCATAATCTCCAGCATGAGCCTGGGACAACTCATCAAAGCCTTAGGAGAAAATAAAAAGATTTCAAAACAAGTGCATTTTCCAGCCAAACATCAACATTATGACCATTAAAGGCCCTACTGGAATGACACAAAATTACTTTATTATACATACATTAACAAGATTTTTCTTAAAAATAATTATTTAAAAAAAGCATCAAAATTGGTACTTGAGAAATGTTTTTGTACATCGTTGCATTTTATATATTTTGCCCCCCTAATAAAAACTACAGAGCTTTAATCATAAAACTAAGCATTTAAATATCTTGCCAAGACATTATTTGAAGATATAGACAACCATAAAGTAGACTACTTGCATAAAATGCATATAAATATCAGTTATCAGAATAAGTTGATAGTCAAAAAGTAAGCTAGCTTACACATAGCAACTGCACCAAATTGCACACTTATGCCAAGTTTGGGACCTCTGAATAAAAAATGAAGGGTTTTTCCCTCCAGTATGAATGCCATATTCTTCTATATAGGGCTGTCACTAACATTAATTTTGGAAGTATCGTTTGATTATTTTAAGTGAATAATAGCCTTTAAAATTACTTAAAATACATAATTCAAATATTATATTAGCCATAAAAACCTGATGTATCAAATATTAAATACAACAAAAATCACTAACCTTCAAAGCTACACTGTAACTCTTTTAGTTTATTCTTAGCTAAAAACACTTGAAGAGTTCAGATGCAAAAGCCTCTAAATGCCATTTGAAATTTTCTTCTTTAATGATGATTTTTATCAAACTTGTATATTTAAGTTCAGTAGTTTCACTTAAATGGTAATGATAATTACCTATTAATTGTTATTTAAGTGAAATTACTGAACTTAAATATACAAGTTTGATAAAAATCCTTGTGAAATGTTTAATTGTAACTGAATAATGAAAAAAAAGTCTTTGTCTTTAAATTAAAACCACGGTTTAAAAAAAAAAAAAAAAAAGCCATTTTAGCTTTCTAAACCGAACCAAATCAAACCGAACCGAGACGTCAAAACCGTGTGAAAACCGAACCGTCAGTTTTGTGTATCGTTACACCCCTAATAATATGCCATTGAAAATACATACGGGTAAAGGGTTCTAATGTCGGTCACCATGTTGCCCCTCCATCTTGAAAGTACATTAGCCAAAGAGGGACATACTCGTTATTTAAAGCTTTGCCTTTCGCGTTTACGTTTCAGTTAACACTCATGGACGAGATCGAACTGGAAGCCATGTTAATCTTGGACTACATTGGCCACCGGAGTTAAAACGAAATCGGAATTGAGAGGAACAGAAACTAATATTCATTGGATGGTCATATACCTTTTCACCACTAGTTGGCATAAAAAAAATCACAGTGTAGCTTTAAATATTCTTTTACATTTAGTCATGAGGTTCAATATATAAATAAATAAATAAATAAATGGTACAGTTTCGAAAATTATTTTTCTCTTTCATGTGCCAGGCTTTGCAGGGCTAAAATGACTAGCACTTACTTGGGCCATATGTGTGCTGGCTGTATCCAGCCTGGTGTTGGTACTGGCTGGACGGGCCCATATTGTGTTGCTTTGTGGATGCTTGGGGCATGAAGACAGTGGGGCCGTACTGGAAGGCACTGGGCACTCCTGGCATCCCGGGGTAGTAGGGCAGGCTGGTGTAGCCGTAACCTGGAGGCAGAGGGGGATTGAGGAAGGCCTGGGTCTGTCCCTGCTGGGGTTGACCTGGGTTCTGCGGTCCTTGATTTTGAGGGGGAACAGCACTCTGTTGAGACTGTGAGGGTGGCACAGATGAGAGACTGTTGGCAGGGGCTGGGGAGTTTGAGTCGCTGCGGCCAAATTTGGTGGGTTCACCTGTACGAGCAAGACAGAAGTTTTAGACTGACCAAGTATTGGAATGCAACAACTCATCAACAGTAGCATAAAACAATAACAACGGTGTCTGCTTACCCGAGTAGGGATTGCTTGCTAATCCTCCATCTCTGCCAGCTAGCGCTGTACCAGGGAAAGCCATGCCATAATAATCCTGCATCGGGAAGAGACAGAAAAATTAATTTAATTTATCCCTAAGAAATAAAAATCTTAAAAAGGACAAGTCATCTAAAAATAATAGGGGTGGCACGGTACATGAAAAAACACCCGAACCGTTCGGTTCGCTTGTCTCGGTTCGGAGCGTGTGTGCGTCTCACGGTTCGACGCATGCGCCTCGTGCCCGTATGCGACATGTGTTTTCTTTTCGCGCGACATAAGCTTGTTCGACTTGGATCGGCGCTGCACAGAGCGACCGGTGAATAACATCAATCTAGTGCAAGAGCGACGGCTCCGTATGCTTTTCAATCACTTTCGCGGTATTTGATGTCATTACCGATCGCTCTGGGCAGCGTAAGTAAAGTAAGTCAAGTTAGTAAACAAGCCAGTAAAAGTGGAGTATGGAGCGCTGCAGGTCACGGCACGCGGAGAAATGGCAAGTGGGAGAGATGAGGGAGTTGGAGGATGCGCCAGCGTCGTATAAGTCTATGGTGTAAGTCCAGTGTGTGGGAACATTTTGGATTTCATGTTATGATATTTTAATATAACGCTACAGTGGCACTTTATGTTTAGATAAGAGCTTCAGTCAAATGTCTCCAAATTCTGCACTTTAATTTCAAGTGAAAAAAAAGTACCCTCACTCTCTGGGAATAGAAGCATTGTTGATACTGTGTTTTGTGTTGAGGTTGACTTATTTTTCACTTTATGTTTATGGCCTTTGCTATTGCTATAGCTTAATTATAGGCAATGAGGTTTTCATGTAGGGTTTTTTCTTTTAAAAGATAGAATTTTTGTAAGAGCTACAAAAGTTGGCAGTTGATAAATGCAAGTTAATTTCTTTGTGCAAATAAGATTTGTACGATAAAAATGCACAAGTTCTTGTAGACATAGTGATACACATTCTCCTTTTTTTGCCAATTAAATGAAAAGCATGTCAATGTCTTCTCTCTTGCTGTGTCATAATCTCACCTAGCTTTCCTCTGAGATAGTCCCAAAATGTGCTTAAAGTCAAAGAGTCAAATTCAGTTTGTGCATGATTGCATGAATATCATTTTTTTATACTGTATCCTAAAGTGTGGATAATTAAGCTATACATCACATGCTGAAGTACATTTCTGGAGTGTTAAAGGGTTAGTTCACCCAAAAATGAAAATTAAGTCATTAATTACTCACCCCCATGCTGTACCAACCCCGTAAGACCTTCGTTCGTCTTCGGAACACAAATGAAGATATTTTTGATTAAATTTGAGAGCTGTATAACTACCACATTGGCTCCTAAAGGACTGCCTCTTGACGGCCCAGAAAGTCAATGAAGAAAATGTTTAAATATCCCAAGTGACTACCGTGGCTCAACTATATGTTTATCAAGCGACGCGAATACTTTTTGTGCGAAAAAACAAACAAAAATAACGAGTTTATTCGACTATTTCTTTTCTTCCTTGTAGGCCAGAACGAGACTTCCTTAGATTTCCACGACGCATGCGCGAGAATTGAGATCTGAAGTAGTGTAAGCTGGTGTGAGCAGATCGCAATTCTCGCGCATGCGTCGTGGAAATCTAAGGAAGTCTCGTTCTGGCCTACAAGGAAGAAAAGAAATAGTCGAATAAACTCGTTATTTTTGTTTGTTTTTTCGCACAAAAAGTATTCGCGTCGCTTGATAAACATATAGTTGAGCCACGGTAGTCACTTGGGATATTTAAACATTTTCTTCATTGACTTTCTGGGCCGTCAAGAGGCAGTCCTTTAGGAGCCAATGTGGTAGTTATACAGCTCTCAAATTTAATCAAAAATATCTTCATTTGTGTTCCGAAGACGAACGAAGGTCTTACGGGGTTGGTACAGCATGGGGGTGAGTAATTAATGACTTAATTTTCATTTTTGGGTGAACTAACCCTTTAAAGATCAAAAGAAAAAAAGAAAAAGAACCGTACAGAACCGAAAACCGTGACCCTAAAACCGTGATACAAACCGAACCGTCGGTTTCGTGAACCGTGCCACCCCTAAAAAATAACCATCATTTTACAATATTATTAAAAGGAGTCATGAGTAGATTTGCTGCTGTAAACAATTACATTACGTGGCACTGTCGTTTTGCTTTTTTATCGAAATAAAAACCATTTAGATCAGTTGGACAACATGTGCTACAATTATTAACTGATCCCGAGTGTCACTAATAAATCTCTTATCTTGTAAAATATGCGGTCAGTCCTGCCCTCTACCTGTACACAAAGTATGAGTGATCATAAATTTGAAAGTTAAAGTGAAAGCAAGTGTGCATTCAAAAGGAATTTCAATTATAGATAGAGGCTCCCTCATGCCCACAAATTATAGGCCTAAACAGAGTATGGGCGATTTCGAATACAAAAGTGAAAAGAGAGCACTCATTCAAAATAATTAATTACCTTAATTTTATACTACAACCACTACAAATAATAATCATAATGAAAATAAAGTACAAGTATGTTTCATATTGATCTATAATAGATCATTAGCTAAATTGTGCAGCTCAAACAAACAAGTACAGCAAACCTGGACCATTAAAGGAAAATATTCCCCAAATAGTGCAGCCCTAGTTAGCACAGTTTATTTTGGGGCAAACTTCTTTTAATGGATGCAAACTGAGCATCGAGTCAAGTGTTGTGAAAGAACAGTGTACTATGAAATTGTTACCATGGGCAGGCGGGACTGCATCATCTGTAGATCTTCATATCCATAGATCGGCTTTAGGGATGAGAAAGTCACAGATCAATGCCATCAATGTGATTCAGGCAACACACTTGACTTCAACAAAGATAAACATAATTGTACATATATTTTTGCTTCCATCTGAGAGCAGATCAGCTATACACTAACCGGGTAAGCAGGAAGGAGGCCACCAGGACCCATGATATACTGACTGGCCAGCAGCGGCGGTATCCCTTGAGCCAGGTTAGGAGGCGCCTTACCTGATCATATTGAAAATATGGTGGAAAACAAGATTCAGTTAAAACATACATTTTTAATATTACACCAACCACACAAACGATTTACAAACTGACATGAAATGCTAATAACTTTTAGTTTGTTTACTTTAAATAATAAAAAGTTGTCAACAGTAAATCAACCATAAAGTTTCCGCCAACTCTGCTCATATGCAGTGAATGTTTGTGACTGACCAGAGGTGTTGGAGGGTGTGACTGTGTTCTGCAGCGGAGCAGAACGGACAGCAGAGGGAGCGGGTGGGCCGTTAGCCGCGATGTTCTGGTTTCCTGTGCTCAGGCCATTCATGTTGACCGACGCACTGGGCACAGAGCCAGAGTATGTGTTCATGTTCACATTCGCATCAGCGCCCATCTGGTTCTGAAGGAAACATTAAAATTCATTTAAAATTGATCTGAAACACATCCATAAAGCCCCTCAAATATCAAAAAAGCAGCACATTGCTGAAATCAGGACAAATGAGGGAGAGAAGCTCAGGTAAAGAGGGGAATAAAGTGAGGAAACTCAGTGGAAATAGGAGTCTTCACAAAAGAAACTTACGCTCAGAGAAGAGCTGGTGGGCGCAGAAGATCCGAGAGAGGTAACGCTGCTCACGTGACTGAGAGAACAGGCAACCACAAGACCATAAGGAGACTGATTTCCTCATGAATGTTTAATAAAGCTGAAATTATAATGATGCGATAGTACCTGCTAAGTGATGAAAGAGCTGTGCTGAGGGCAGGCGGTGCGGTTGAAGAGGAGGAAGATGACAAACCGTTCTCAGTGTGCAGGGCTGTGGGTATGGGCTGAGGGGTGCTGGACGGAGCAGCTGTAGATACATCAGGACAAAAATGTCAATTGTGGCTAATGCTACAAATTCACATGGCAAAGAAAGAACAGGTAAAAATGGAAAATCGAATAGAGAATTACCTTCCTGTGCACTAGACGTCCTCATTTCACTGAATCCATTCTGTGTTGAAACAGATAAACAGATTCAGCTATACACTAACTTTTTATTGTTTGAATGCCATTATACAAGAGAAAAACAAAAAGGTATTACCATTAATAAATTACAAATAAAAAGTGAGAAGAGAATTAAGCTCCACCCTCATGATATGACTTCTTTCAGCAGAACATAAAAAGATTTTTTGATACCTGTATGACTCACTGTATGAAAAATTATTTATTTTATAAATTTTTACCTTCCACAAAAAAAAAAAAAAAAAAAAGAATTCACTTTATAGCCCTTAATCCTGTAATTGTGGACAAATGTGGGCACAGGTGTGATCCTAATTTTTATTATTTTATTTATTTTCATTTAAGTTTTGTCTATCCATTTATTATGTGTATTTTTATTTTGGGGGTATTTTTGAATTTATTTACTTCAAAAAGTACCATATTTTCTATGCGAATTATGCTTATTTTTAATTTTTTTTTAACTATATTAAAATATCATTCCAACAAGTTCTTAGAGCTAAAACCTAAAGATGAAGTGACTTTGCTGTCACCTGGTGTCTTATTTTGGCTTATTTTAGAATCCTCTAAATTACAGTTTTCCCATTCATTTCTACTGGTGCCTATTTTTGACCCAAATACAATTAAGGAGTTTTTTTTTTTCACCCACTTAACAAACTGTAGAATTGAGTCAAAAAAAAATTGTGTGTGTTCACTGTTCAGGAGGCAAACTTAGGAAAAGTAGCCAAGTCTTGTACCGCTCAGATCAAGGGAAGTATTTTTATTTTTAAAATGAATAAAAACTATTTTGCCCAAATTTGTTCAGAATACGGTTTTAGGGTTAAGAGTATTTAATAGATTTTTCTTCATTTGGTTGACTTTGTTTGATACCAGAATTTGGTTTGTTTAATTTGTATGATGCAATTTCCTAAATCTAAATTGAATTCTGCATAGAAACTGGGACTCAACATGTGGACTCAATTGGTTTGACCAAAGAAACTCCATGACTTTAAGATGTGTTTGATGACTAGATAAGGACTTTGATCACAAAAAGATACAAGATATCTATAAAAGATTATAAGAACCCTGTATATAAATCAATCTAGCGCTAGATTCTGGATAATTCAGTGCAAGCCATCTAATTAAAAGTACGGTCACATCGCATGAACCATGTGCCTTAAAAGTGAAAAGATGAAAAGCGTTTTGGTCATACACTGAGAGGGGTGGTGGCGGATGACTCCACTCTGTTGGCTGACGAGGGAGCCAAAACAGAAGGAGCAGTAGCGCTCGGTAAACCCAGAGAGGCAGATGGGTAACTGGAATCCATTACTGCTGAAGGCAAGCCACCTAGAGACTCACTAAAAGGAAAAGGAGAAAAAAAAAAAAAGATCACTTGATTAGAACTGGCAAGTAGTGGAATGTTCTGGGTTTAAATCACTGATCTATATAGAGAACTGGTTTGCTCATGACATCATAAAAAGCGAAGCCACCACACCACCTTATTGGTATTCCCTAGAAAACTTGCACGTTCTATTGAAATAATATGAAGTTATATGATTTTACTGGGAATACACTGACTAATGAGACCATTTTTTAATCTGAAATCTCCCTGTCATCCACAAACATCTTTTGCATGTAAACGGTTATTTGTTTAAAGTCGAGAAGTTCTCCTGCTTATTAAAAAGATTTGTTCATATTTATAACAGTAGCGAACATCAGTTCGGCAGGCGGACGAGAGCCTTCAGCATGTATTACAAATGTCCAAGTGCGCATTCTGAAATCGTAATATAGATTTATGCCTGGTAACCTGAAATCGCCTTGTACTGATACATTTATGTTGTTAACTTGTTACATGACATGCATAACATAACATGCATTTAGATGCAGTTAATAATTTAAAAGATGGTTCAATTAATTATATACAATAACTATAAATAATTATTTATTGAATTGTTTATTGTATAGGCTATTCTGCAACTAAACACAATGTTTTCATGTTTAATATTTTCTTCATAATCATGTACATAAAGAAAGACTCGTGCTAGATCGGGTTACCTGTGTCAGAAGTGTGCAGGAGAAACACACACGTTAACAACTTCAATATACAAGTTATTTGGCATGACTGAACTGACACCAAAGTTAAGATTTTTAACTAGGCGTCAAAAAGCACCAAATAAAAATCACTTGCGCGTAACGCACGTATCGTGCAAATTAGTGTCCACACCGTGCAAAATGAGGGTGAGATGACCGTTTTCATTTTTGGGTGAAAAATCAGAGTTTAAGATCTTGTAAACATTCTAATAAGGAAGTGTCACACAGGTGGTCAGACAGACCTGATGGTGGTGGGCTTAGAGTACAAGCTGCACTGCGTCTGAGGAGCAGCTGCAGATTCCTGATAGCTACTTTCTGATTGGTCGAGATTCTCCACAGTGGATTCGGATCCAAAATCGAGTGCGCCAAACTGCACGTTCAGCCCAGACACGTCAGCAGAGCCTGGCATCTCTACTGCCGAAGAGGGGATCTGGCAACACAACATGAAAAGCCATTAAACTATATGAATGAGGTTTTGAATGAATGAAACTTTTTTTTTTTACTTTAATGGCAGCCAAATTGAACCACTAATTTTAACATTAATGTCACAAGGCACACACACAACACTATGGCTTTTCTTTTGTTACCTTTGATGGAGGGGGCACTCTCCGTCTTTGTGGTCTGAAGTTTCTGGGTTGTGGCGGCTCTGCCGTGATAACGACAGGCTCACAGAAGGGTTTCAGTGTTGGAGAAGGCTCATCATATGGGGGAAGTGGTACAGGGTCTCGGGCCTGAGCCGGCAGGTCCGACTGGAGTGCTGCATTTTGATGCTGGGTAAGATGACTGAGGATGGGAGATGGGTCGGGTTGGGCCTTAAGGTCCACTATAGACAAAAGGCGTGGTCAGTCTTTTTCAAACTTTCATAGAGAATTTGCGTTCATAAATATTAGATAGCTTGTTAATGATGTGTAAAACTACAAAACTATATTGACTCCAATGGTCAATGGGATTCAGTTGCATGTGTACATCATGGAATCAGCAATTATATAGTATAGACAGTATGCTCAATACTCACGGTGAGCTGCTGTAACAGGAGTCTCCTTGGGTTCATTCAAGGGCATGGCGGTGGATTCAATAGGCATCGGAGCAGTGGATTCAACAGATGCAGTGCCATTGCTCAGGGCCCCTGAAATCTGATTGGACAGTGGGGCGATTCGGGGTGTGCTGATTGGCTCAGTTTTCTGCACATCACTGTGGGGAAGCCTGGAACCCAGCATGGTCTAGAAGAAAAAAAAGAAAGTGTTGCCATGATCCCGAAATGTATAAGTTTATGTGTCAGGGACAATGCTGTGCACATTATTACATAAATAATTATAGGGCTGGACGATTAATCGAAAAATAACCAAAAATAAATTCAGAGCCTATAACCAACGTTATTTTACCATGTCAGTTAATTCGGTTTTTGAATCCTATTAATAGATCCGCCCACTAAGTGTTAACGTACTTTCCCCTTAAAACATAATAGTCACGTAACTCCACCCCGTCCAGTCTGCAACATTGAAACAACATGATTCCCTTTCACACAGCGCGTTGATCTCGTGAAATTGAAAGAACAAACACCTTCTGTGTGGGCGTAAACATGGCCCGGGATTGGTGCCGCCAGGACAGAGAAACATGCTGTGTTCAGTTCACGGTTTAGTCACGGAGCTCGTGCTGTGTGAACAAAAGCCGTAATCAATGCCGCGATACAGTCTAATGATGCCGTTTTACCCGGGATCGTTCGCCAGCGTGAAACGGTACGAAATGCGCTAGTTTATGATCGAATCAGAGAAAACGCACCTGCGTCGTTTCTTGAAAGGAATCGCAGCTCATAAGCAAAGTATAGACCATTTCACAAGATGTAAACAACACTGGTCCAGAAGCACTTCCTGTTTCAGTTTGTAACTGTTTTCTTTATTTCACATGTAAAGAAAACATCTTAAAGATGTTTGTTTTAAAGGCACTCTATGCAAGATCTGTACCTTAATATAACAGCTTCAAAGTCGTTTTGGTGGTTAACAAAGTCATAGTAGGGCGAATCATCCTGGTAGGAAAGCTTGGGGGGGACGCCGCCGGAAAAACCAGCCATGCAAGTTTGAGAGTGGCGCCCCTGACACAGCGCGTGAGAATCACGAAATGGTTTACGGCAACGACGTCACACGCATCAACAACATCATACTGTATGAAGCTACTTTCGAAACAGGGAAAGAGAATCGGACCGTGCTAGAAACCGGACAAGAGTCCACTCGGTCGGGCTTTCACTCGTTGGCGCGAGCTTAAAAGCTGCACTGGATTGTAACTGCGATGCTGACCTGGCGATCTTGTTGATGGACTTGTAAGTAAATCTCTTATTTATAAACTTGTTTGTATTTGTATACTAGTTGTTTCTATATTGTATGTTGCTGCACTGGCTTGTGGTATGTAATTTTTTACGGTGCTGTTCATTCATCCGTTGTTGATAATAAGACCAGTTCAATAATTCTCACATGTCTATAGCTTTCGATTACCAGAGCTTTAAGCAGACTTCCTAAAAACAGTCGTTTCTCTTAGTCTTGTTGTTTTTTCCGTTATGTTTTATTGCCGAGCTTGCCACAAGAGCTAGTTTGCCAGCTGAACTCAGGTGTTGTGATGTGTATTTATCACGTATCTTTAGTCCTGTGTCTGGTTCGGATTTCTTATGACGTGTGTAAGTTACTGTTATATCAAGTTTATCTGACTAACAGTACACTTCCCGACTGTAACTTCAAATTGTGTTGATTATGAATCAATCAAATCTTGACGCTGTTGATGTTGATTCTTGCGATTACCATGAGGACATAGTCAATATCTCACATAATTATTAGGACATATATAAGCCTAGAGGTTGTAAATAATTGAACACAATTTGCTATTATGATAAATTGTAATCATGTCTAAATCATAACGTCCAATGTTATGAAATAATGCGACGTACATTTAACTTGATTGATGTCATCTGACATTTTGTAATTTTAACATTACAATCAAAAAACATGAATGAAATTATACAGTAGCCTATACACTATAGGCTATTTACTTCTGATTTTGCAGAAATCATGTAAAAACGCTATAAGCCAGCAAACGCGATAGGCAACTTTATTATTAAAAAGCAGTCTAGCACTTGACAGTATATGCAGTAACAGGGGAATAACGGTTATTTACGACAGTGCAAGTACACCACAGCGGCTCTAGAGGTCACTGTTTTACAAAAAAACCAGAGAGTGCATAGTGTGCCTTTAACTTTTTGATTCAGTTTTAAATGTTCTGTTGGTTGTATTTTATCCCAGCTTTTATGTAGTGTTAAAAACCTGAAACAGGAAGTGCTTCTGGACCAGTGTTGTTTACATCTTGTGAAATGGTCTATAAACGCTGCTTAGACATGTCTGATTTCTCAAATACTGAGTGAACTCAGCAACAGGAGCTGCTTGTACCAAAGAAACACGCGAAAAATGAGAGAGACTGACAAACGCCCAGCAACTAGGGCTGGACCAGAATATTCGAATATTCGTTCGGTGGGTTGGTATTCGATTTGAAAATGTGACATTCGAATAATCATGTTTTTTTTTTTGCACACCTGGCATCCCACTCGAAACGGTTCTCATTTGCGCTTGAATATGTTTTACAGTATAAAATCTGGTGAAATATAATACTTAACATAAAACTTCGTTATAGCTATTTAATAATTATATTTGCTTCTTGGACTACTAAAATTGTTCCTGCAACGGTAGTACTCTCTGGCTAGTGAGCAGAACAGCACAGAACACAGTTTGTATGGACAGAAGTGCATGCCTGTGCTTGTACGTATTTTGGGTTTTGACATTGTGGAAAATAGAATAGAAACGAAATGCATTATCCTTTATCCGTTATTCTCAAAATAAATGAATCTACTGCGAGACTCTGAGATTTTACTGGGACCTCGCGTCACAATTTCGTTTTTTAAATTCCATTTTTCTATATTTAAGTTATTTGTTTTCATTTATTTAAATTTCGTTTTTATACATTTAAATTTTTTTTTTTTGTTTTATTTGTTTAAATTTCGTTTTTATTCATTTAAATTTAGTTTTTATTCATTTAAATCTACCCTACTTTGTTAGTGAGAAAACTATACCTAATTAAAAATATTGCTTAAGTTAAAAGACCTGTGTGTGTGTGTGTGTGTTTTATTAACACAAATGCAGTGTCCCATTCTCTGAGCATGTAATCCCTGCTCGCGTGAGGTGCGCCGCTTCTTTATTTAAATCTACCCTAATTTTTCAGTTATTTGTTAGTGAGTTATAAGTTAACAGACCTGGGAACAGAGAATCGCTGTTCTCGACATGACAAGAGATAATGTCGAGCCCCCCCTGATATGTTTTCCCTGAATAGAATTAGGCTACGTTGTTGAAAATGAAAGTGAAAGATGCACATTCGTTTCGTCATTGCGTTTTACAGTGATGAGAGTTTATTGTGTCTTTATTAAACTCAACACATTATAATGATACATCTGTCATCCCCCTTTGGCCCGCCGATCCGCACATCACAATTGGCAAACTATACGTTTTGAGAATGGACACGGAACCCGCAACAGAACGGTTATGATGGGAAAAGGATATCTGAGCATTTGTTTGAGTTTTGTCGAGAGCCGGAGGCGGCACGAAATTTGATGGACGTGGCCTGCTGTGTGCGCCTATTTTATATCACTAATGCAGTGTCCGTTCTCAGAGCATATTCCCTGCACGTGTGAGGCACGCCGCATTTAAATCTACCCTACTTTGTCAGTAATTTGTTAGTCAGTTATAAGTTAACAGACGTGTGTGTGCGTGTGTGTGTTTTGCAGTGTCCGTTCTCGGAGCATACGTTCTTGCTCATGTGAGGCGCGCCGCTTCCCGCTCGCGCTGTAGTTTATTAAAAGTTTATTCATTCTGAATGTGTCGCCTCTTGCCAGTCTATCTATATTGCACCATACAGACATTCCGAAGCTTCGAATATTCGATGTTCATTACTACCGAAGCTTCGAAGCTCAAAAAAATGGTATTCGGACCAGCCCTACCAGCAACAAGTGTATACACTCCACAATGCAGCTTTCGATAACACAAGCATATACAAATGCTAAACGATATAAAAAGGACTACTTTTTTAGTTTTATACAAGTTATATTTTACTTAAGATGGCAATATTTACAATAATTTATTTTGTTTACAAAAATAACTATTTTCTACATTTTTAAATATCTAATAGCATTAAAAGCTATCTGTGCGTTTCCTTATTTTAGAATCTCAAAGATAGGATTATGCACTCTTTCATTAGAAAAACACACTTACATATTTACAGTATAAGCCTTGCCAGTGACATATGAGGAAAAATAATAATAATTGTTCAATAATCGTAATCATGATTTTAGCCAAAATAGTCCAGCCCTATATAACCATCACAGTCAAAGCCATAACAATTTGTGTTGATGTGTTGCATAAAAAAAGTTTCTAGCTAATAGGCTAATTTGCAACCCTAGTCCCGGGTCAGCCCTTTCTATTTCAGTCAAAACCAATTTTAGTAAAATTACAGTTATCAATACCAATTTTGATACCAAAGCAAAAACTATGCCTTTTTTTATGCCTAAAAGTTTGGGACTTTTAAGTTTCATCTTTGTACCAAAGCTCTGTTCCTTTCAGACATTTGTTATTACAAAAATTGTAAAGAAAACGTAATAGTGGACATTATATATTGGCATCATATCAGTTATCAGGATATTTTTTGACTGAGCCCACACTTTTGAATTGTAGAGTATCTTCTGAATAATTACTAAAATAGCCAGAATAATTCTATAAATCTGTGGATTCAAGTGCTGTACGTGTGTCCGTGTTCTCACCGATGCAGCATGTGCATAAGTGCCAGCAGCAGCAGAAGCATAGCTGTGTGTGTGCGCTCGGGTGGAGTACTGCTGGGAGTTGGTGAACACCAGGCTCTGAGTGAGAGTTTCAAGGGATGACGGCTCCAATCCGACCAGCTCCGAGTCGCCGTCAGCCACCTTAGGCAACAGAGAGCCGAGATCCATCCTGATGAGCAGACACACACATTCAGACAACTACAAAAAAGGCCATTACTCTGTGATACAAAACATTAGAGATGCGTTTTTCTTTGGTTCTGATGCTTCCACAACACAGGACGAGAGAATATTTTAGGGCACTACACTTATATATGCCTGCTCAACTGTCACGCTTGCCGAGTTGTAAAGACGTGTGCTTTTTTTTTTTTTTTTTATTCAATTGCAAAAACAAGTCGTAAATTCACTAGACTGGGAGGGGAAATCATACCTGAATGCTTGCCAAATATTTTAGAGCACACAGGCAGAGAGATAAAGGTCTAAACTTGCTGCTCTTAACTGCTTGTTGAACATTTAAGCAGTAGACAAACCAAACTCGTTATCATATAGTGCTTTAGTGGTCAAGGCAAAACAAATAGTCAGCATCTTTGGTCAGAAACTCTTCAAATGAAATTGATATAAAATGATACCGTGCCAACACACAAGTTGAATAGGTAATAACAAATGTGACTGACAGAGTAAGAAGTAATTCCATTGTCATCCTAGGTGTGCTACTTAAAAAAGAAAATAAAACTACTATATATTAGATATTAGGATTAAAGGGATAGTTCACTTTTTTGAGGGATAGATTATCTGTCATTCCAAACCTGTTAGACCCTCGTACATCTTCGGAACACAAATGAAGATATTTTGATAAAATCCGGGAGACTCAGAATACTTTCTGAATGTAACTTTGTCAATTTGAAGAGGAATTATTCCAAACATTTTGAATTTATTTGAACTTATATATATATATATATGAAGAGTTCAGATGCAAAAGCCTCTAAATGCCATTCGAAATTTTCTTCTAAAATGACCATTTTTATCAAGCTTGTATATTTAAGTTCAGTAATTTCACTTAAATGACAATTAATAGGTAATCTTTATTGTCATTTAAGTGAAATTACTGAACTTAAATATACTGAACTCTAAATGCCATTTGAAATTTTCTTCTAAAATTACCATTTTTATCAAGCTTATATATTTAAGTTCAGTAATTTCACTTAAATGACAATTAATAGGTAATCTTTATTGTCATTTAAGTGAAATTACTGAACTTAAATATATAAGCTTGATAAAAATGGTAATTTTAGAAGAAAATTTCAAATGGCATTTAGAGGCTTTTGCATCTGAACTCTTCATATATATATATATATATTTATTTATTTTTATTTATGTTTTTTTTTAAGTGGCACTCCTAGGCCTCCATACATCTTTGCTCTGTGCTGGAAAGTGCTGAAGCACAGGAAGCACTCACCCCTGTCCAGGCTGCATGGGATTCTTGGAGCCAAAAGCATAGGAAGCAGTGAACACTTTGGTCTCAGAAAGCTGATAAATGGAGAAGTGAGCATTACACATTGACATTACGATTCAAGTGTTCCAGTTTCATTTTAACACGAGGTCACTCACATCTTCATTCCAGTCTTCGGATGCCCAATCTTCCAGACTGTCCTTCCAAGGTCCTGACAGAAAAGCAGAGTTTAGATTTTATATAAAACTCAGAAACCCTGTTTTATTGCTTGTTCATTTACACAAATTTAGCTTTTCGGTTTGATGATTTGCACTACATAAATTGGATATGAGATCAGCATTCTGAATTTCAATCAATACAGAGCATGCGGTATGTAATCAATACCACTAAAAAGAGTCTCACTGACGTCAATACTTTTCTGAAAATGGCTTCAGATATGATTAAGTGAAAAGCTTTAGAGGAGCAACGCTCTATTAAAGAAACAGTGTCCAGAATCCAGATCATTAAACTGCACTCACCTGCTCCTTCACTAGTCTCACTTACAGGATCCGCTGCTTCAGCAGAGCCGGTGCAGTCAGCGGGGTTAAACGTCCTACTAATCAAACACAAGAAACGAAGGGGGAGAGTGTGAATGACCAAGAATGGGCGCAGGTGTTGTGATTTTTTTTTCTTTGGTTTTGAAAAAAAAAAAAAACTCACCCCATTCCCTGAGAGAACCTGCTCATTCCAGCTCCTCTGGCTCTTCCTCTACCTCCTACACCTGACATGACACATCAGTATGAATATGTAGTAGAACAAGTGAAAATAAAGTAAAAATGTAAAAAAAATAATGCCAAGTAAATGACAACATTGTCAATCTTGTTTTGTGTCTGTCAACCAATCACAGCAAGTATGATTGGTTGTCTTTGGTACATTTAAATATTTTTTCCACCTGTACCTCAAAGACTTCTACATTCTAACCACTAGTCCTGTCATGATAAATTTTGCTGGACGATAAATTGTCCAAGAAATTACTGCGATAAACGATAATATCGCTGTTCTGAGACCATTTACATCTAAAATAATGATAATGGCATAATGCAGGTACACCTTTTCAAAGATCAATCAACTTTTATTTCTAAATACTATTTAACACTGAAAATGGAAAACATTTTAAATATCCACAATAAATTAACAAAACAACCAAAAACAATAAAAGCAATGGACTCAGTCTCTTAACAAAAATGGACTTGAATAAAAAAAACAAAAATAATAAATAAAAGTACTGCATGTGCTCCTTAATTCCTAAAAAGCTGACAGTTCAGCCCGATCACACATCTGTTATTATCAATTATGAACACAGAATTCAGCACTGAACAAAGTCAGTTTTGAGTGGTGAGGGGAGTCGATGTTAAATGCTTCTGATTGGCCATTGTGTTCAAGAAATCAGAGAACCAGAAATACATCTGTGATTGGCTACATCGCTCAACGCTGCAAAGATGTTATGAATAGAAACTCTGGCCTGTAATCGTTTCTATTTTGTTTTAGTTGTTGTTGTCGCTTTTCTGCAACAGATGAATAAAAATCTATCCGTTTTTATATGTTTTATTCATAGATATTGCTAGTTTACGGGAGTCCCGCGAATCATTTCACTGTCCCGCAACCCACACACACAGAGTTTATTACTGCCCACGCTCAGCCATCAAATCTAGAGCCGCGCCGCACTCTATTGCATTGGGAGTGCACATCTCTAGATCAAGGACCCGGCCCAAGGATAGTAAATATCGGCCCGGATGAGAGTAGTCATCCAGTCTCTTTGGTTGGTAGAGAGAGAGAGAGAGAGAGAAAGAGAGAGAATTGTCGCAGCCGGAAAAATTAATCAAATTCATTTTTTTGTGCGATTAATTGATCGTGACAGGCCTACAAACCTTCTTGCAAATAAAATCAAGTAATTTAAGAGACATAACAGCCCCTTCTAATTAGGGCTGCAACTAACGATTATTTTGATAATCGATTAATCGGACGATTATTTTTTCGATTAATCGGATAAAACAATTATATTCCATTTTTTTGTTTATTATAACAAATAAAAAATATATATATGACCATAACCTATAACAAAAATGCTATTGTAAACTAGATTAGTGGATAACTCAGCAAAACGTAGCCTAGAAATATCACAAGTGCAAAATATAATTTTATAAAATCTGAACATTTAGTGAAAAAAAACATTCCTTAGTGGGGAACAAATAAGAGACAATAAGTGTAACACTAACACTGGTAAAACGTACACATTGCTCTTTGTATTGTTGTTATACATTCATGAAAAACATTGTAAAAATCAGATGCACAACTGTTTTAAATGTAAAGCACAGCTGTTTAGTGAGGAAGCAAAATATAATAGATAGGAGTCATAGGACAGAACAAGAAAGGCTATTAATAAGCTTTCATTGCGCAAAAGTATTATGACATGATCATGAAAGAGCTGCACAAAGTGCGTATGTGCATCGTGAGCGCTGAATGATGCGCTTGGAGCAACACGGAGTCACAGGGAGGCGCGCAGCTCTTCAGTGTCCGCCGCATTAAAGTTAAAAGCACCAAGGAAAGAGAAAGACATATTGACTGTGTATTATACAGTATCTATGCAATAGTTTATTAAGCCTTTTCTTTTAACAGTTTTAAATTTCAGTTAGGCTACTGTGCACGTGAAGAACAATTATACTGCGCCGACTCTACTATAGTGTTGTGATCTAACAGACACTCAAAGTGATTAAGTTACAGCAATAAAAGTCTAGCAAGATAGAAATACCATCATAGACCTTTATCTACGGATCAATTATAATAATAACATTGAATCATCTTGGAAAGAGATCATCATGTTAACTGTCGTAACGCGACGCGCTGTTTGAAAACCGAATAGAGAATGACCGACAGCCGCAGTGGAGGGAAAAGCTTAGGTTAACTTCAATTTAATGACTTAAATATACATTTCTATCTCACATTATACTACTTTATGGCTTCATAAAGTATACACGATTAACGTAGGTCACCTATGTTGGCGAATTTACCGAAAGGTGAATGATTTTCGTGTATGCTGCATATTGATAGCGGTTTCCTGATGCCCGAAAATTAGTTCAAACTCACGGAATCAAGAGCGCGCATGCGAGACAGAAGATAATGTGCTCCAAACCGTCCGTGTTGCGCGCGCGAGACAGGGTAGAGCGGCGAGGGAGAGAGACTGCATGTGCGCCTCATGAAGCGCATGTTCCATGTAAACAATCCCCGTGATGTAATCAGACCAACTAATCGATAATGACATTCGTTGACAACGATTTTCATAATCGATTATAATCGATTTTATCGATTAGTTGTTGCAGCCCTACTTCTAATGACTTTCCAGTCTTTTTCTTGCTCTATCCCTTATCTTCCCCTCTCGAATTGCAGCTGCTTTAAACAAAGCATTCGTCACATGAAGTGCCCTACAAACGTTGCTCAGTGACACAAATAGCAACACAGGAACAGGCCCCATCCTGCCCAGTCTAAGATAGCAGAATGCATACCGTAGACATGTTCTGTCCAAATATCAAAAACATGATAAGTGTTACACTCTAGACAATTACATATAATATGTTGTTTTCTATTAAGGTTCTCTGGTGTGAGGTCTAGGGTTTAGGATGAGAACAAAAAAAAGCAATTATTCAATGCGCCTGGCACATTCTACACCTCTAGATGGCTAACAAAAATGATATTAAAACACTGCAAAATTCCACTGTGTGGGGGGGAAATCTCTGATTCAAAAGCAAAATGTGCACGGCCGCACAGGTATTCATAACAGTGCTGAGCAGAGCGAGCGTTTTCAATTAATTCTTGCGGAAATGGAGCTTGAATTAAAGCTGCAATACATAAGATTTATGCCGCTAGAGGGCGCTACATTCAAAACAACAACAACGGCTTTGCTTGATAATGGCATGGAGGAACGCGGAATGATGGGAACTATTGTTTTCAACTGCACCGTGGATAAATCAGTCAGACGGGAATCAAAAAATTGTTGTCATGGATGAGGTAAAGTTTGATTTCTATAACTGTTGCGTTTAATGACATGCTAATCAACTTAAAAACCACTTCAGGGGCAGCAGTGTATTAATGAGCAGTAATGTCTAGGAGTGAGTATAATGCTCTGACCTCTCCCTCTTCCTCTGCGCCCACGATCTCCTCCTCTCTCCCCTGGAGCCGAATCAAACCCGTTCTCTTCCAACCGCCCTTAAAACAGCCAAGAACAAGAAATGCTCATAAAGATGATATCTAAATCACCAAAACATCATTATTATGCAAGCCTCAGGAAAAAAAACAAACCTACACATGCATGTCAGGACATGTGCACACTAATCGCACAGAAACACACCTTCCTGGTTGCGGCTGGCTCCTCGGCCACGTCTGTTTGAAGCCGCGCGGCCTCTGCTTTCCCTTTCTCCTCTTTTCTCTCTGCTCTCTGGTGCAGTCCCTTCTTTTCCAACACTTTTCTTCTTGCCAACTGTCTCCCATGAGTCCTGTCAAATTAGCACAGCATGAGAATATTTCAAAACATAATCAGTACATGAATTTATTAACCTCTCAGTTGCAACTTATATCACTTGTATTTAATGCTAGTAAAGTTTGAAAAAAAAATAAATTACATTATTTCGATTCAGTCTAGTTTTTCTGGTATGATTAATACTTTCACAAAATACAGTGAATCAGAAATGAGTAAAGCAGGATGAACTGTGTCAAGAGCACACCTTGACAGTGACCTCCTCCAGGAGGAAGTTGATAGCCCTGTTGACGTCTCCATTGCAGTCGTGAAGGGCCACCATACACTCGTCCTGATTTTTGCCTGTAACCTCCATGAGCTAAGACAAAACAACCAACCGCAATCAAAATCTTGTAGATAAAACAAAATACACAAAATATTAAGGGAACTAAGGATGTGAATCAAGAAAATCAAGTATAAGGCCGAGTGTCAACCAAAGCGTTTTTAGCCAGCTGAAAACACGTAGCTGTGGGTGCACTGGCAGTGCAGTGTTTTTTCCGTTGAGACGCTTCGTTGCTATGATACAGAATATCCACAGCACAGTTTACTTGTAACTGATTTAGCAGATAATTTGTTTCATACTAAAAATTATTCTTCATCCTTGTGGTACGGTTTGCTCTGCTGGTTGATGTCGTTGTACAAAAAGAATGTTGTGACAGTTGGTTGGTGTGGTATTAGTCCCACCCCTCCTCAATTGTGATTGGACGACTGGGTAAAAAGTGACTGTGATGAGCGCTGTTTTAACCAAAGCTGAACATTTTTCAACTCTCGGCGACCAGTAAAAACCTATCCCTGTTCCATGTATTTACCTTATATTAGCTAGTACTTTCTAGGTAAGTACACTGTAAGTACTGTACTGTAAAAGGAAGCGCAACCAAAACACCAGGCGCTGAACGCTTCAGCATGAAAAAAAACCTCCAGCGCCTTGTTACGCTCATGGTGTTTTAAAAACGCGGTGCTCCCATTGAAAACATATGCGTGAAAAAACACTTTGGTGGACACACGGCCTAAGGAATTTATTTTTATTCAAGTAGCCTACCATGCATTACAATAAAACTCTGGATGTGTATTAGGGATGGGCATGATTAATTGACGATCGATTATTGATCATTAAGAATTTCGTCGATTATCATTAAACTAATGCTGCTGCGTTGCGTAGTTTGAGGGGAAAGTGAACGTGTTCCCAGGGCTGTTGATGTTAGCGCGGAGGTAAAAAACATGCAGTATTTTTGTATTTACATTGCATTTTTAATTTATAAAAAGTTAAAAATAATACATTTTAATATAAAAATATTAATGATTAATCGATAGTCGATCGTTAATTCTTCCGACGATCGACTAAGAAAATTTAATCGAATGCCCATCCCTAATGTTTATCTCTGAGCCAGGAATTATACCAATTAGGGCTAGGATTACAGATTCACAAGATCTCAACTACTAGATTCAATTCTCAATTCGATTTAATGAGTAATTTTAATTGGCTCCACATATAAAAGGAATAAAAAAATAATTATTACTGTTTTTGACCCATGTAACCTTGTATTGTAATAAGTAAGTTTGACACTTATTTATGAACTTCTAGTACCAGTGAAATTTCGCAATTCAATTTGAATCCAATTTTGATACCACATGTAATAAGATTCACATCAATCAGATATGTTCAATGTTTGCTGAAATGCATGCAGAACCAGATTGATTCAAGGCTATTTTTTAGTGGCTTTATGTTAATGAACTTGTTACTTTTATTACTATTAAATTCAAGTGAACTGCCAGAGCAGCTCAGGAGATGAAGTTCATGTGGGGTGTCTTTCATTTCATGAAATCATGTCGACTAAACGTTAGTTGGCTTAGTAGACCAAAACTGTACTAGTCGGCACAGGGGTCAACATGACAGCTTTCACATTACCAATTTTTCATGTTAACCGTGCCCCGTTTCAAACTAAACTTACAGTGTGAAAGCCCCCTCGGAAAACACTAGATTATTAATAAATAATTATAAGGTCTCCTAGCTATTTTGTATGACACACTCAATCATTACTTTTGCCGGTGCTTTTTGGCAAGCTTTAGGTCAAGTCACTTTTATTTATATTGTTTCAGAGCACCTTAACAGGGATAACAGGAAAAATATTTTGCAATAATATTGTTAAAGATAAAATTAAATGTCCCGAACTAAGCAAACCAAAAGCGACAAAGGTGAGCATGAGTGCATGAGCCCGGAATAGGCTATGTTACATCTATTAGAGCCCGACCGATAAAGGATTTTGAAGGCCGATACCGATACAAATATTTTTCGGTTACATCAACAGATTTCCCTAACATTAGTTATTTGTAGTTATTTATGAGTTTTAACTAAAATAATATGATAATGCATTTTAAAAAGAAATTTTCTTTCTTTTATTGTCGCAACAGAACAGAGGAACCAAAGCTCATTAATGTTAACATTAGCAGTCTTCCACTGATGATAGTGGCATTAGCTAGCTTTGTAGTTAGCTAGTCTATGATGAGCCATAATTTAGCAATGGATAACGTCATACTGCAAATTGTAAAATATATATTTTCAATATAACAGGACAAGGAGAGATGATACATCTCATTGCTATAACCGTCATGCGCTATGGACTATGTGCACGTTAGCATATGCTAGTTCCGGCTGCGAAACCGATATGGGGTGTCTAGTTTCCGGTAGCCTGATGGACGACATAGAGGATGTATGTTTCTCCAGATGTCTTGAACATTTGCCGAATATTACAGTCGATTATGTTCATCGACTGGCTAATGATTTTCCTCCAGCTCCCCAGAGCAAGAGAGAAGGGGTTTAAATATTACATTTCTCAGTATTTGCATCATTTTGAAGGGAACGTTAAGTCACAACAACATCCATAATCTCTTTTCAGCGTGTTTATGAATACCGTTGACTTAACGTTATTATTGTATATATATATATATATATATATATATATACACAGTGTATATATATATATATAGCATATGACCTACCTCAACCCCAACCTACCCGTCACTCCTACCATCCTAGGAAAAAATAAATATCGCTCCCCAGATGTAGATCTACATTTTGTTTTGTTTCGCTCGGACATTTGACGGCGTGTACATACGCGGTACTCGTGGAATCACTCGGACATTAATGTTGCCATGCTACGTGCTCAAGCTATGCGATTTGGTAACTGTTCTCTCTATACATTATAAAATGCGAAATCATGCGTTAGAAAGTGCATTTTCCAGAACAGTTTGTGTTGGCCATTGTTTTGTTTATGATGTTCAGAGGCTATGTTGTTGACAACCACTATCGTCATATAGATCAGTGTTGACAACCACTATACATGTCATACAGGGAGTAGGTATCCGACGTTGGTTCGTTCGTTATCAAGGCTGTTTAACACATATTAGACTGTTCACACATATTTCTAAACAGGTCTCCCTTTCAAAATAGGTTCTAAACCCAGGGGCTTCTCCTGGTTAAAGGGTATAATATAATAAATAATGGGCTCTATGCACGGCGTTATTTCCGGTGAAGGATTAAGGATGCTCGATAACTTCCGCCGATCATAGAGTCCAATGCAATACCGAGAATTTATATTGAATTTAATACTCCATGGTTATACTAATGAAACGTTAGTCACAAAAACAGATAAAACAGACACCCCTCGTTGTGTTTATGCTTCTTTTTAAAATTATATTAAATAAACATAACTATATATAAAATTACATCTAAACGTATGTACGTTTCGTTTCAAAGACGAGAGGACAGTAAATATTGAAGACTCTGTCATAATCCCGTTTTCTCCGGTTTTCCTCCGCTTTAATCTACACAACCGGAAATGGACGAGCATCCTTACGTCAAATGCGGAACTTATGCGTGCATATAGCCCATTAGTAGCCTAAAAACTTCCTTCTAGTTGTCATGGATACGCAACGCTCCACTCTGTGAAGCGACTGCTTGGGTGCGGTGACAAAATGTGAAATATCGTTTACTTTTCACAATGCAGCAGCGCCTGGCTCCACCCAAATATGAGTGAAAACTGTGTTGGTTGACTTGACCATGAACAAACGAACATAGTTTTAGACAAATATATTTAGATAGCTAAGCTTTAGATAGCCGGTCCACTGATGTAGGATGTAAACAACGGCAACCGGAACCGAAGTACCCAACATCCGCCCTCAAGGCGGAAGTTAGCATTTTTCTCGTGCACATAGTCAATTAAAGAAATAATTCAGCAGAACTTTGCAGAATGTGTGGCGCGTTTCAACTCCAACAATCATTACATGGTTGAAGCGTGCTTCGTCCGTTTTTATTTTATTTTTGAAATTTTAATTTATCGCCATTATAACTGTTAATACCGATAGTTTGGAAAATGCCTAATATCGGCCTGCCGATAAATCGGTCTGGCTCTAACATCTATATACGTATATTAAAAGCTTATTATGGTTTAGTATTCCCCCAAGTATATATTTAAATAATTATTTTAATATAACATGAGATTAGACGACTTGAAATATCTTTAGTCGCAGGCAGCCTAGATTCTTTACCAACAGAGCTGCAGATTCCAACTGTGTAGGAAATATTAGTGTGTTTTAGCACAGTGTTGAAAGAAAAAACAAGAAAAGTTAACAAAAAATAAATAAATTCATCCTGATGTTGCTCACCTGCTGGACTTTGCCCTCAAAATCTGCATCGTTTTTGTCGTAAATCACCTGGGCGAGTCGGATCTGTTCCGCTGTGGCCTAGAGATAAATGACATCCACAATCAAAACACAGTCATTGATAGGTACTCATCACACCTCACTGATGTGTGCGTTTGTGATGCTCACCAGGATCTGTTTCTGTGGCTGTGAGGTGTGTGTGGTTTGTTGTAGGGCTCTGTCCCGATTGCCCCTGGCAGCATCAGTGACCACTGAAGTCATCATAAACAGTATATACAAAATAATGTATGTACAAAATAGAAAATTCTGGAGGAGAGGAGGAAACGGAGACAGATTATAACACACACAAGACTATAAAAAAAAAAAATCCCCAAGATGTTTGTGTAAGAAAAGTTTAGTGACAGGTGCAGTGGGCCTGTGGCTAGTTTAACTCTCAGCTCTGTGCTTCCCATGTAAGACTATCACCCCCCTATCTGTTCAGCACTTAATATAGCCATGCAAACATAGTCTGGATTGGTGTCCACTTACACGCCTACCCAAAACCCCACTCCTGAAAAAATAAAACACGCCTACAACATATAAACAGCACATCAATCTGAAAGGGACAGTACACCTAAAAACTAAAGAGTCAATATTAAAGGTTTGAAACAATATAACCGTAATATTTTTTGTGGGTTTATCTCTTCAACAAGGACTGGATTTAAAAACCTAACGTAAACTTACTTAGCTAGATAAATCGCACACTTCGGCAAACCGAACGCGCAGTTCGGCCAAAAACGCTGTATAGGTAACGTTAACGTAATAAAGTTAGGGGGATTGATAAAATTATAACGAAAACATTTCAGCTAAAGGCCGACTAAAATCGCGTTAACGGTTTAAAATCGTCGTGATCATCTTGTATATCAACCTTCACTATGGACTAACGTTAAAATAACAGATCGCACAAGCAACCGTAAAATGGCCATTAGCAAGAGACACGCGAACTCGAGCGAGATCTCATTATTTAAGTGATGTTCAGCTCAATTAAAACCCACAATTACGCCATGTTTACAGTCGGGTTGGCTCAGGTTAGAATAAACGGGATTTTGAAAACAAGCAGATGCTAACACAACAGGCTCTGCTAACTGTTTGTGCTGCACCACGCCGCGCCGCTGCTGCTAATGCTACGACCAACCGACAACAAACTTCAGCTCATCTGCCACTAATAATGAGGCAAAATCAAGTAATGCAAATACTTAGTCACTGGCCCGATTAAAAAATTAAGCTCTTTTTACAAGTCAACGGTAATGGTTTGCTTTCGCTTTTTTGGCAACACAAACATACCCTCTCCGCTCCCTCAAACGCTGTGTGTTTTTACCTGCCCACCGACCGCACGCGCTCCCCTACAAACAGCAGCGTGAAGCTCGCAACGAGAAAAAAGCTGTTTTTTTAATATAAAAGCACAGACGATATTACTAGAATAAAAGTCCAGATCCGTTCCGCATAGAATGGTGGTTGACTATGTGGATAAATGTAAATGTAAGGTTGACAGTAGGGAGCCATAGACTGTAAAAAAAAAAGTAGGGACCACATTTACATTAAATCGTTCTTCTATGCTTTTTTCTAATGTAATATTTTATTAAAAATTATAAGGTCAGAAAAATAATTTGAGTGTTTTAAATTTATTTGGAAAAAAATAACAGTTTTACACATAACGTTTTTTTTTTCTTTTCTTTTTCATTTTATTTAAAAAATATATTTTTTCCTTTTTTTACAAAACAAATCCCACTTGTTCCAAAGTCTTTCTAATTTGTCCAGCTGTAAATGCGATTTTTTTCCATTTTCCTTATGTTCATAATAAGGTACCCATTCCTTGATTGTCGGAGGAGTTTGAGTCATCCATTTTTTTGTAATGACCTTTTTTCCCTGCAGCCAGGAGCATATTATAATGGTCATCCTTTTGTTTAATTTCTTGATAATAGTAACTCCTTGTTTGCAAGTACCTGTAAAAGCCCTGTTTTTCTAAGCCAAAGGATTCCCTCAGTTCATCAAAGCTTTTCATTTGGTTTTCTTTTTCAATTTGGTAAAAAAAAAAATCTTTATACCCTTTGTGACCCAGACCTTAAATCTTGGTTCTGTTTGGTACAAAAGCTTGGTCATAAGCCAATAATGTTTTCAAGTTTTAACATGTTAAAACCTGTCACTTTCTGTTGACGACAAACACGCTATAGGGGGGAAACAGCAATACATCAATGGAATAATACATCAGGCTTACATCAATAAAGTGTTGATAGCTTAATAGAATCACTGAATCGTTTTTGAAAAGGTTCATTAAACTGTTCGAAGTAACCGATTTGCAGAATTGAATCGGACTTTCCATTATCCCAGATTTTCAATGTGTCAGATCAGAAATATCATTCAATTATTTATTTTAATAATGTAATTATAACATTCATGACCATTCTAAGTATGCCAAGGCTAGATTTCTAATTATTAAAATGATATGTTTGACAACACTGAAAATCATTGTCTCAGAAAGTTTAAACAGAGCTCCATAAGAAAATTGCTGAGTAGCTAATTTCATAAATTGGCTATTGTTTTTTGCTGAAGCATTTATATAATACCGTGTCTCCCTCCTTAAATAGTTTAACATCATGTTCCTGTCCTGTGATTTGAAATGTATTTAACCACCTAACAGCTTGTTACCTTCTACACAGATCATGTTGTGTCAACAAATATTGTCTGTCATTCATCAACTCAGTGTTTTAGTGGGGCTTCTCCATGCTGATCAATAACCTCTCTTGTTTAATCTTTCTAAACAAGCAGAGTGTGAGACATTGGTCAATGTACAGGACGCTTTCAACCAACTTCAAACGTTTTTGTCAGTCAGAATAACGGTGGTACTGATCACTAATAGTCCTGGCTGGTTCAGCTGCATGTTTAGTCCTGTGCTTCAAGATGTGGTCAAACATGGGAATCCTGATCTGGTTCTTTATAGTTTCTGGCTTGTTAAAAACAACAGCGCTACAGATTTCACAATGCACTTTGCAGAAGGTAAGTCCACTTTTAGCTTGGAACTAGGCAAATTTATGATCTTTTGTTGGATGTTTACAAAGTTCATATGTATAAGTAATGGAGTAACATGAAGAAGGGGCACTGTTCAAAAGTTTGGGATTAGTAATATTTTTTTAAGTTTTTGAAAACAATCTCTCATGGTCACCATGGCTGCATTTATTTGATTATAAGGCATCCCTTGAAGAATGTAAGTATTCATTTATTTAAATTGTTTACAATTAAAATCTTACTGGCCCCAAACTTTTGAACAGTGTAGTGTTTATATATATATATATATATAGCCTATATATATATATATATATATATATATTGAGTATATATATATATATATATATATATATATATATTATATAATATATAGAGAGAGAGAGAGAGAGAGAGAAAAGAAAGAGTATATACAGTATGAACCCCTAAATATAAAATATAAATATAAATATTTAAATATAAATATATTTTTTTTTTAATGGTCTGAGCTTGCTTGTTGCCATCCTTAGTGCTGCCATATAATTAGCTTTTTTTAATGGTATTGTCTGTTCAAAATCGAATTGTGTTTTGCTTGTGTTTCCTCCCAGGATTTTTTAGAGTCGCTGAAACCTCAAGATTTATTTTATTATTTTGATACTATTTCCACTAAATCAGGTGAGTCTGATTCAGATATTGAGAAATAGTGGTCACAAATAAGGAGCCAAAAAGTTTACAGATAGATCATTAGGTTCAGAGGTTTTAAAAGACTGTAAACATGTACATAAACTAGACTAAACATGTACATACCCTGACATTAGTAGTTCGTTCTCTTCAGTGCCTCACTTTGAGCTGGTGTGGGTGAATTGCTCGAGGAATGAGTCTTTCAGGGGGCTGTGGAGGTGCTCGTTTCAGACCGAAGAAGAGAGATTTGAGTTGGGCCAGCACAGAGATGAACGACCAGTGTCCTGTCCCACAAGTCTGGAAATGGTGATCAATTCAACGGTTAGTGTGGTGAAGAAGAGGGAGGACATGTGCTGTGAGCAGCTGAAGTTACTGAGACCAGCACATACAAGAACTCTTCTCCCCGTCTGCCATGGCAAATTAGTAAGTTGTTTTTTTATGCTCTATGTTTGTCCCATATAAAGTTTTTGTGGCTAGATATACTACAGTATACTAATTTTAGTCTAATTTTGTCTTCAGCAAGGTCTGATTCAATATGGGGAGAGGAGGCTGTGTATTCGCCCAGTGCTTCAAAAACACATAGACCATCTGAAGGATCTTAATATGGATTTACCTTCGGGTGTACCTCACCTGCTATTAACCCACACATTACCAGCGAGGACACATCTTAAACAACCCAAGAGTGAGTGAGCAATGTACTGGTTATATACAGTTTACTACCATATCACTGAACATAAGCCTATCACTGGCCTGTAGTCCACAGCAATACATTTTGCAATTGAGCTTGTCCATAGGCTATGTTCGAGGGGTCATTCACATGCAGGGCACTACTTCACTTTTCATCTTTTTCAATGTCATATAGTGCCACTTTTTTTCTTTTTTCTTTTTTTTACAGTTGTAAAAAAAATCAGCTTTAATATAGAAATATATGTAATAAATGTATTAAACAAGTAACATAAACAACATAAACAAATGTTGCATCATTACGCCAGTAGGTGGTGACAAATGACATGTCTTTAGTCAAGTCAAGTCAAGTCAAGTCACCTTTATAGTGCCTTTTACAGTACAGATTGTTTCAAAGCCGCTTTACAGAGATAACATGAAAATAATGCAACAAAGTTTCTAGAAGAAAATACACAGTCCAGCTTAGGTAAATTCAGTGATGGTTCATTTTTGTAATAAAAAAGTTATTCATTTAGTTCATTTATATGGAGAAAAAAAAACCTTGGGAGAACCCATGCTCATGTGTCGATGAGGCCTTCACAGGGGAGAGTCTGGTTGACACAATTTATTCTGACTGGAGTGCATTGTGGTTGTGTATAGGCGCAGGTCCTCCATCTGATCTGGATACGGCCCGGATCTGCTGACTACATCATGTATTGGGTTCGTGTCTAGGCGCAGGTCCTCCATCTGATCTGGATACGGCCCGGGTCAGACTGACTACATCATGTGTTGTGGTTGTGTCTATGCACAGGTCCTCCATATGATCTGGATACGGCCCGGGTCAGATTGACTACATCATGTGGCGTGTTCGTGTCTAGGCGCGGGTCCTCCATCTGATCTGGATACAGCCCAGATCCGGCTGACTACATCATGTATTGAGTTCGTGTCTATGCGCAGGTCCTCCATCTGATCTGGATACGGCCTGGATCCGGCTGACTACATCATGTGTTG